ACACCATTGCCATTTTGTTCAACATTGTGATGGAAGTATTAGCCAAGGAAATTAGTCAAGAAAAAAATAGAGATCTTTTCAACAGTGTTGGGAAAACTGGATATCAACATGTAAAAGAATGAATTTGGACCCTTACCTTACACCATACACAAAAATTAACTCAAAGTGGATCAAAGACCTAAATGTAAGACCTAAAACTATAAAACTCTTAACAGGAAACATAGGAGAAAACTTCATGACATTGAATTTGGCAGTGATTTCTTGGACATGATACCAAAGGCAAAGGTAAAAAAAGAAAGACAAATTGGACCTCATCAAACTTTTGTGACATTATCAACAGAGGAAACCTGTAGAATAGGAGGAAATATTTTCAAGTCATGTATCTGAAAAGAGGTTAATATCCAGAATATATAGACAACTCTAAACACTCGACAGCGCAAAAAAAATAAAATGGGCAAAGGATTGAATAGACATTTCTCCAAAGAGGGTATACAAATGGCCAATAAGCACATGAAAATATGCTCACATCACTGATCATTATGGAAATGAAAATGAAAACCACAATGAGATACCACCTCATAACAATTAGGGTGGCTACTATCACAGAAGGAAAGAAGTCAGGAAGGAAGGAAAGAAGAAAGGAATAAAGGGATGGAGGAGGAGAGGGAAGAAGAAAGTAAGAAAAGCACAAGTGTTGATAAGGATGTGGAGAAATTAGAACACGTGCACTGTTGCTGGGATTTTTATATGGTGCAGCCACTGTGGAAAACAGTATTGAAGTTCTTCATAATATTAAAAATATAATTATCAGATAATCCAGCAATTCCACTTCTGAATATATATCCAAAATAACTGAAAACAGGGACTTGAAGAGATATTACACCCATGTTCATAGCAGCATTATTCACAATAGCTAAAAAAACATGGAAGCAACCCAAGTGTCCATCAAGAGATGAATGAATAAACAAAACGCGGTATATACATACAACGGAATATTATTCAACCTTAAAAAGGAAGGAAATTCTAACACATGCTACAAATGGATGAAGCCTTGAAGGCATGATGCTAATGAAATAAGCCAGTCCCACATGGACAAATGCCATACAATTCCACTTGTATGAGGTATCTAGAGTAGTGAAATTCTTAAAGACAAGAAGTAGAATGGTGGATGCCAGTGGCTGGGAGAGGAGGGATGGGAAGTTATTGTTTAATGAACACGGAGTTTCAGTTTTGCAAGATGAAAAGAGTTCTGGAAATGGATGATGGTGAAGATAGCACAACAATAGGAATGTACCTAATGCCACTGAAGTGCACACTTAAAAATGGTTAAGATGGTAAATTTTATATTATGTATATTTTACCATAATTTTTTAAAAAATAAAAAGAAAGAAGAAAAAATAAAGTAAAAGAAAGAAAAGGAAGGAAGGTAGGAGGGTAAGGTGGGAGGGAAAGTAAAGAAATAGAAGAATTTCCAGATTTGCAAGGAAGAGGTAAAACTATCTCTATTTGCACATGATATGATCTTGTATATATAAAATCCTAAGGAATCCACTAAAAGTTATTAGAGCCAATAAATGAGTTCAGAAAAATTGTAGAACACAAGATCAATTTTTAAAAATTAATTGTATTTCAGGACACTAGCAATGTATAATCTGAAAATAAAATTAAGAAAACAAATCCATTTACAATAGCATCAAAAATAATAAAATACTTAACAATAAATTTAACAAAAAAAAGAGCAAGTCTAGTACACTGAAAACTACAAAACATTGTTGAAAGAAATTAAAGACTTCAGTAAATGGAAAGACATCCCATTTTCATGGATTGAAAGACTTTATTTTTTTAAGGTGGCAATGCCCCAAAATTGACCTACAGAATCCATGAAACCTCTATCAAAGTTCCAGCTAAGTTTTTTCCAAAATTGACAAGCTGTTCCTAAAATTCACTTGGAAATTCAAGGGAACCAGAATAGCCAAAACAATCTTGGAAAAGAAGAACAAAGTTGGAGGGCTCAAACTTCCCAAATTCAAAACTTACTATAAATATACAATAACCCAGATAGTGTGATACTGGCATAAGAATGGACATATAGATCAATGAAATAGAATCCAGAAATAAACTCTTAAAATTATGTTTAATTGATTTTGACAAGAGTGCCAAGACAATTCAGTGGGGAAAGAATGAGAACAGTCTTTTCAACAGATGGTGCTGGGACCACTAATTATCCCCATGCACAGAATAAAATGGGCCTCCTACATTCACACAGTACACAAAAATTAACTCAAATGGATCATTGACCTATATCGAAGAGCTAAAATTACAAGCTTTTAGAAGAAAACAGGAGTTAATCTTCATGAGCTTGAGTTAAACAGAACGTTTTTGGATATGACATCAAGAGCATAAATGACAGAAGAAAAAATTGATAAATCGGACTTCATCAAAATTAAAAACTTGTACTACAAATGACACCATCAAGAAAGAAGAAAAGCCCACAGAACAGAAAATATTTGCAAATCATGTATCTAATAAGGGACTTGTATCCATAATATACAAATAATTCTTATAGCTCAGTAATAAATAGATAAATAACCCAATTTTTAAATGGGCAAAGGATTTGAAAGACCTTTCTCCCAGGACAATATACAAATGACCAATAAACATGAAAAGGTGCTTAGCATCATTAATCATCAGGGAAATGCAAATCAAAACCACAACAACATACCACTTCATATCCACTAGAACTGCTATAAGCAAAAAGACAGACAATAAGAGTTGGTGAGATTGTGGAGCAATTGGAACACTCGTACATTGCTGGTGGGAATGTAAAATGGTGCAAGCACTTTGACACTTCCTCACAATATTAAACACAGAGTTAACATAACAACCTAGCAGATGCACTTCTAGGTATACACCCAAAAGAAATGAAAAAAAAAATCCACCCAAAAACTTGTACATGAACCTTCATAGCAACATTATTCAAAATAGCTAGAGTGGAAACAACCCTAACATCTGTCAGTGGATAAATAAAATGTGGTCTGTCCATACAATGGAGTATTATTTAGCAATAAAAAGGAATCAAGTACTGATGTAGGCTACAACATGAATGAACCCTAAAAATATTATGTTAAGTGAAAAAAAAGCCAGTCGCAAAGGACCACACATTGTATGATTCTCTTTATATGAAATGCCCAGAATAGGCAAGTTAGAAATTAAATTAACAGTTGCCTAGGGCTATGGGTGGGGCAGGGAGGAACAGGAAGTGACTGCTAATGGTTACAGAGTTTCTTTGGGGTGACAGAAATTGTTCTGAAATTAGATTGTGGTGATGAGTGCACGACTCTATGAATGTACTAAAAAACACTGGCTTGTAACCTTTAAACTGGTGGATTGCTTGTTATGGAATTATCGTATATCTGAATAAAGCTGTTTTAAAAAATCAGGTGGCCAGAGAAGCCCTCCCTGAGAAACTGGCTTTAGAAGTTTTGGCAGGGAAATGAAACATTTTCTTAGTAAAAATATATTATGAGTACATTATGGAATAGAATGAACAATTCACATACATTTTAATAATAAAACATGATATGTTAAAGAACCTTTAGGTCCACATGTGTCCCTTCAAGCCCAGGTCACACAGTAGAGAGGTACTTGGGAGAACGTTTGAGAAGCAGCACAGCACAGGGTTCAAGGAGGGAATCAGAACTATCAGAGTTGGATCTTGGAAGGATCAGGGTGGAAAAAGGACTAGAGTGGGCATACAGCCCATGTCCTCAGGAAGGGAGGGGCATTCTTGAGCACTGTGCTTGGGGCCTAGCCTTTGCACCTCTTGTCCTCACTTCATAGATGGGAAGCTGAGACTGGGACGGACTGGGTAATGATAATAGTAAGAAAAAGTCCACAGTCACCTGGTGGCAAATTGATCTGATGGTGAGACGTTTTGTACAGTGGTATGAGGGGAAAAGAATGATGGGAGAAGGGGGAAGATTCCAGAGATCAATGAGGATGCTGGCAGAACTTGCTGTCTCATCAGCTGTGAGCGGTAAAGATGAGGGAAGAGTCAAGGACACATCCAGTTTCCAGTTTGTATATTGGGTGAATGATGGAGCTGTTTGCTGAAATGGGGAATACTGCCAGGCAGAAGATGGCATGCTTGGTTGGGTTGGAGGCACCTGTGGCACATCCTGGGGGTGAGGTGGGGGTTGTCAGGTTGTGTATTGATTTGGAGATCAAAAAAGAGAGAGAGAAGTCTGTGCTAGCAACAGGGTAAGTGGATGATCAGGGTTCCTAAATTCACATGTCTTCAGGAGCTTGCAGATGGCAAGCCATGAGTGCAGCAGGCCAGTGGGAGAATTACAGGTGGAGACCATGGAGAACAAGCAAGTACACTCCCTTCCAGAGAGAGCACCCCTTACTCAGCTCTAGACTATAACTGCCATGTAGAGAGTGGGAAGGGAGCATGATTAAGAACATGGAAGTTGGAGCCAGACTGCCTGGGTTCAAATTCCAGCTCCCTTACAAGTTGCTTTACTTCTCTGTGCCTTGGGTTCTTTATCTGTAAAATGGGGATGATAATATAGTACCTTCCTCCTAGGAAAAAAAAATATATATATATATATATGTGTGTGTGTGTGTGTGTATATACATATGTGTGTATGGCATATAGCAAGTCTACAAAAGTGTCAGCTATCATTATCATATGAGACTTCAGATCCAGCTGTCAGAGGGGCTACACATCTATAATGTTATGTGAAATTTACTAACCTGAAGTTGTTGGCAACTGATTAAAATTTTATTTAAATAGTCCAGAATCAAACACAATGCATATGGATGAGGTCTGCATATGGCTCTTGAGCTTCCAATTTGAGACCTCTGACAGCCATGGTAAGTTAAAGTGGGGATCGAGTGGTGGTTTTACCTAGAGAAAAGGGAAAATGAGAAGAGCTGGCCCTGGGACAGGTGGCAGAGGAGAGAATGCCTGTCTCATGATGTCCGATGCCCTGCAGGATCCCAGAAGGAGAGATAGATGTACAGCAAGACCATGAAGAAGCTGTTAAGAGTGGAAGCCTCTGGAAGGAGGGCCCAGGTCCACAGTGTGGGCAGCCATGGTCTCTGGCATGAAGACCTCCTGGAGCCTGCCAATAAGCCCAGCATCACTGGAAAGTTCAAGGTGCTGGAGCCGCCCGTGCTGGGCCATGACCTGAGGCTGGTCCTTTGCTTGGCTAACCTCACATCCTGGGTCCAGTGGGTCCAAGTCACCATACTTTACACCCACAAGCCGGTGGCAGAGATCCTGCACGAATCCCATGCAGTGAAGCTGGGGCCAGAAGAGGATAAGAACACCACAGCTGGGTGGGACCTGGTTGGCCCAGCTCCTTTTCCAGGAGGGTTGGGGTTGGGGGCAGACTTCACGGCATCCTACATTCATTCCCAGGAAAGAAAGGGATATTTCTGAGCATTTGCAGATGAGAAAACTGAGGTTCAGAGGGGCTGAATAATGAAGATAGTAATAAAAGTACACAATCATCTAGTGGCAAACATATAATGCTCAGGTGATCCCACTTAGTATGAATATTCACACACTGAATAAATACCTGCTGGGAGCATTTCATAGTATGTGGAATATGCCCTGTGTTACCTTTCTAAAATCCAACAAATTTCAGAGCTCATCTGGCTCCAGGTGTTTGGTGTGAGAGGAATGGACCAGTAAGAGATGTTTATTAAGTGCCTACATGTGCCAGGCCCTGTCCCAAGAATTCTGCAGGCATCAGCTACAACCCACAACCACCCTCAGTCCTCTCCCTTCCCCTTTCCTCCCATATTCTTCCTCTGTCCCTGTCTTTCTCTCTCCCCTGCCCCACCAGCACATACATTCTGAAGGATTTGATTAAATAAAGACATTGTTCCTCTGAACCAGTTTCAGCTAAGTGAAACCTTGTGTGTTTTGACAGGATGTGAAAGTATGTGAAGGAGGTGTCACATACTTTTTGCTTTTCTGTCACTTATTTTTCACACAGTCTAAATCACAAAATAACACTTCACAAGGAAATGTTAATTAACATACACTTTCTCCTGGTTTTTTTCATATTAAAAGTAATACAGCTACGTAGGGGAAAGCAGGAGCAAGATGGCAGAGTAGATGGACGTGCGCTCATTCCTTCTTGTGAGAGCACGTGAATCACAACTAACTGCTGAACAATCATAGACAGGAAGACACTGAAACTCACCAAAAAAACATACCCCACATCCAAAGACAAAGGAGAAGCCACAGTGAGACAGTAGGAGGGGAGCAATCACAATAAAATCAAATCCCGTAACTGCTGGGTGGGTGACACACAAGCTGGAGAACGCTTATACCACAGAAGTCCACTCACTGAAGTGAAGGTTCTGAGCCCAACATCAGACTTTCCAACCTGAGGGTCCGGCAATGGGAGGAGGAAATCCTAGAGAATCAGACGGTGAAGGCTAGCGAGATTTGATTGCAGGATTTTGACAGGACTAGGGGAAACAGAGACTCCACTCTTGGAGGGCACACACAAAGTAGTGGTCGCATCAGGACGCAGGGAAAGGAGCAGTGACCCCATAGGAGACTGAACCAGACCTACCTGCTAGTGTTGGAGGGTATCCTGCAGAGGCAGGGGATGGCTGTGGCTCACCGTGAGGACAAGGACACAGGCAGAAGAACATCTGGGAAGTACTCCTTGGAGTAAGCCCTCCCAGAGTCCGCCATCAGCCCCACCAAAGAGCCAGGTAGTCTCCTGTGTTGGGTTGCCTCCGGCCAAACAACCAACAGGGAAGGAGCCCAGCCCCACCCATCAGCAGACAAGCGGATTAAAGTTTTACTGAGTTCTGCCCACAAGAGTAACACCCAGCTCTATCCACCACCAGTCCCTCCCATCAGGAAACTTGCACAAGCCTCTTAGATAGCCTCATCCACCAGAGGGCAGACAGCAGAAGCAAGAAGAACTACAATCCTGCAGCCTGTGGGAAAAAAACCACATTCACAGAAAGACAGACAAGATGAAAAGGCAGAGGGCTATGTACCAGATGAAGGAAGAAGATAAAACCCCAGAAAAACAACTCAATGAGGTAGAGATAGGCAACCTTCCAGAAAAAGAATTCAGAATAATGGTAGTGAAGATGATCCAGGACCTCAGAAAAAGAATGGAGGCAAAGATCGAGAAGATGCAAGAAGAGTTTAACAAAGACCTAGAAGAATTAAATAACAAATACCTAGAATAATTAAAGAACAAACAAACAGAGATGAACAATACAATAACTGAAATGAAAAATACACTAGAAGGAAACAATAGCAGAATAACTGAGGCAGAAGAACGGATAAGTGACCTGGAAGACAGACTGGTGGAGTACACTGCCATGGAGCAGAATAAAGAAAAAAGAATGAAAACAAATGAAGACAGCCTAAGAGACCTCTGAGGCAACATTAAATGCAACAACATTTGCATTATAGGGGTCCCAGAAGGAGAAGGGAGAGAAAGGACCCAAAAAGATATTTGAAGAGATTATAGTCAAACACTTCCCTAACATGGGAAAGGAAATAGCCACTCAAGTCCAGGAAGCACAGAGAGTACCAGGCAGGAAAAACCCAGGAGAAACATGCCAAGACACATAGTAATCAAATTCGCAAAAATTAAAGACAAAGAAAAATTGTTGAAAATGAGGGAAAAATGACAAGTAACATACAAGGGAACTCCCATGAGATGAACAGCTGAATCCTCACCAGAAACTCTACAAGCCAGAAGGGAGTGACATGATATATTTAAAGTGATGAAAGGGAAGAACCTACAACCAAGATTACTGTCCCCAACAAGGATCTCATTCAGATTCGACAGAGAAATCAAAAGCTTTACAGACAATCAAAAGCTAAGAGAATTCAGCACCACCAAACCAGCTCTACAACAAACGCTAAAGGAACTTCTCCAAGTGAGAAACACAAGAGAAGAAAAAGACCTACAAAAACAAACCCATAACAATTAAGAAAATGGTCATAGGAACATACATATCAATAATTACCTTAAATGTGAATGGATTAAATGCTCCAACTAAAAGACACAGGCTCGCTGAATGGTTACAAAAACAAGACCCATATATATGCTGTGTACAAGAGACCCACTTCAGACCTTGGGACATATACAGACTGTAAGTGAGGGGATGGAAAAAGATATTCCATGCAAATGAAATCAAAAGAAAGCTGGAGTAACAATACCCATACCAGATAAAATAGACTTTAAAATAAAGAATGTGACAAGAGGCAAGGAAGGACACTACATAATGATCAAGGGATCAATCCAAGAAAAAGATATAACAATTATAAATATATATGCACCCAACATAGGGGCACCTCAATACATAAGGCAACTGCTAACAGCTATAAAAGAGGAAATCGACAGTTATACAATAATAGTGGGGGACTTTTAACACTTCACTTACACCAATGGACAGATCATACAAACAGAAAATAAGGAAACACAAGCTTTAAATGATATAATAGAGCACATAGATTTAGTTGATATTTATAGGACATTCCATCCAAAAACAGCAGATTACACTTACTTCTGAAGTGCGCACAGAACATTCTCCAGGATAGATCACATCTTGGGTGACAAATCAAGCCTCAGTAAATTTAAGAATATTGAAATCATACCAAACATCTTTTCTGACCACAATGCTATGAGATGAGAAATCAGTTACAGGGGAAAAAGGTAAAAAACACAAACACATGGAGGCTAAACAATACGTTACTAAATAACCAAGAGATCACTGAAGAAATCAAAGAAGAAATCAAAAAATACCTAGAGACAAATGACAATGAAAACACGACGATCCAAAACCTATGGAATGCAGCAAAAGCAGTTCTAGGAGGGAAGTTTATAGCTATACAAGCCTACCTCAAGAAACAAGAAAAACCTCAAATAAACAATCTAACCTTACACCTAAAGGAACTAGAGAAAGAAGAACAAACAAAACCCAAAGTTAGTAGAAGGAAAGAAATCATAAAGATTAAAGCAGAAATAGATGAAATAGAAACAAAGGAAACAAAAGCAAACATCAATAAAACTAAAAGTTGGTTCTTTGAGAAGATAAACAAAATTGATAAACCATTAGCCAGACTCATCAAGAAAAAGAGGCAGAGGACTGAAATAAATAAAATTAGAAATGAAAATGGAGAAGTTACAACAGACACTGCAGAAATACAAATCATCCTAAGAGACTACTACAAGCAACACTATGCCAATAAAATGGAAAACCTGGAAGAAATGGACAAATTCTTAGACAGGTATAACCTTCCAAGAGTGAACCAGGAAGAAATAGAAAATATGAACAGACCAATCACAAGTAAGGAAATTGAAACTCTGAGTAAAAATCTTCCAACAAGCAAAAGTCCAGGACCAGATGGCTTCACAGGTGAATTCTATCAATCATTTAGAAGAGAGCTAACACCCAACCTTCTCAAACTCTTCCAAAATATTGCAGAGGAGGGAACACTCCCAAACTCATTCTATGAGGCCACCATCACCCTGATACCAAAACCAGACAAAGATACTACAAAAAAAGAAAATTACAGACCAATATCACTGATGAATATATATGCAAAAATCCTCAATAAAATACTAGCAAACAGAATCCAACAACACATTGAAAGGATCATACACCATGATCAAGTGGGGTTTATCCCAGGAATGCAAGGATTCTTCAATATACGCAAATCAATCAATGTGATACACCATATTAAGAAATTGAAGAATAAAAACCATATGATCATCTCAACACATGCAGAAAAAGCTTTTGACAAAATTCAACACCCATTTATGATAAAAACTCTCCAGAAAGTGGGCATAGAGGGAACCTACCTCAACATAATAAAGGCCATATATGACAAACCCACAGGAAACATCATTCTCAATGGTGAAAAACTGAAAGCATTTCCTCTAAGATGAGGAACAAGACAAGGATGCCCACTCTCACCACTATTATTCAGAATAGTTTTGGTAGTCCTAGCCATGGCAACCAGAGAAGAAAATGAAATTAAAGGAATACAAATTGGAAAAGAAGAAGTAAAACTGTCCCTGTTTCAAATGACATGATACTATACATAGAGAATCCTAAAGATGCCACCAGAAAACTACTAGAGCTAATCAATGAATTTGGTAAAGTTGCAGGATACAAAATTAATGCACAGAAATCTCTGGCATTCCTGTACACTAATAATGAAAAATCTGAAAGATAAATTAAGGAAACACTCCCATTTACCAATGCAACAAAAAGAATAAAATACCTAGGCATAAACCTGCCTAGAGAGACAAAAGACC